GTTTAGAAATTGGTTTTTCTTCTCTTTAAAATTAAAAAAAGTCACAGTAATCAATCTGGCACTGGTGAAACAATGGACAAGTGTGTCAACAGAACAGAACCAAGGAGCCTAGAAACAGACATACAATCAACTGATCTTTGACAAAGGAGTAAAACAGTAAGAAAAGATATTACAACAACAGTACTGGAATAATCCATAAATCAAAATATTACTCAAAGTGAGTTACAGACCTAAATGTAAAATGCAAAGCTGTACAATTTTTAAAAGATACTACAGGATAAAATCTAAGTATCCTGAATTTGACAATCAGTCTTTAGATTAAACACCAAAAGCATGATCTGTGACAGGAAAAAAAAATTGGGAAGTGCAACTTCAACTTCCACTCTGTGAAAAATATTTAAGAGATGAATAGCCAAGTGTGAAAGTGCATACCTGTAATCCCAACTACTAAAGAGGCTGAGGCACAAGAACCTCAAGTTCCAGGCCTGATCAATTTAGCGGGACCCTGTCTCAAAACAAGAAAGGGACAGAACGTAGTATTCGGTGGGGTTAGTTTGTAGGACTGGAAACAAGAAAGAAAGATGAAGACAAGCCACAAATTGGAAGAACATAGTTGTAAGTGTATCTCTGATAGTGGACGTACCCAAAATGTAACTCTAAAGTAAAAAATAAGAACAAACCACCTAAATAAAAAGTGGACTAGCTGGGCGTGGTAGCACAGGCTTAAAATTCTGGAATGCTGAGGCAGGATGACTGCAAGTTCAAGACCAGACTGGGCAACTGTGTGACTGAAGACCCTATCTCAAAATAAAAAATAAAATAAGGGCCTGGTCATATAGCTCAATGAGAAGACCCTGGGTTCAAACCCTAGTACCACCACCACCAAAAGAAAAAAAAAAAAAGATAAAAAACTTGTACAATTTGACAAAGATACAAAGATGGTAAATAAGCACATAAAATGATATTTGGTATCATGTTATTAGGGAATTTGAAGTCAAAACAATGAGATACCACGATGTACCTTCATTAGTGGATAAAATTCAATAAAACTAGCAGCAACAAAAGATGGCTAGGACATGGAACAACACAGACTCTCACTGATTGCTAATGAGAGCACAATGGTACAGCCACTTGGGAGATGGTCTGGCAGCTTATTAAAAAGCTAAACATAATCTTAATATATGACCCAAAGATCATGCTTGTAGGTATTTGCACAACTGAACTAAAAACCTGCACCCAAGCCTTTACCATTGCTTTATTCACCATGGCCCAAAACTAGAAGTCACCAAAGTAAAGAAGATGCTCCTCAATGTGTGAAACCTTGCCTCCCTGATAACATCCATACAATTGCTACGAGTATTACTTAGCAGTAAGAATAAATGTACTATTAAGTAAAAAAAATACAACAGAAATCTTAAATGCGTACCACTATGTGAAAGTAGTCTGAACAAAAGTTATACATTGTCTGATTTTAACTATATTCCACGCCAGAAAAGCTAAAATTATAGCAACAGTAAAGAAAGCAGTGGTTGCCAGGATTTTGGGGGCAAGGGAAACCTTTTAGGGCAGGGAAAATATTCTGGATAATACTAGAATGCAGGATACATGTCCTTATGCCTTTGTCTAACCCCACAAAACTGTGTAACAAAAAGAGTCAACTTTATTGTTTACCAACTCCAGTGAGTAATAATGTATTGATACTGACTGGTTCATTAACTATACTACTGTAAAGCAAGATGTTAATAACGTGAAACTGTCCAGCTAATGAAATAATATATGGTGATCATATGTTTAGGTATACAAAAGTCTGAAAGTTTATAGCTAAAACAGTTGTTTTTTAAAAATGTCTTAACTTAGTTTAATACTGCTTTTACTAGGTTATAAAGAATATAAGGTTTGGTTGTGAGAATCAATGTCCTAAAGGGAAAAAAAGCTGTAAAATACTGAAAACTGCTATTTGAGAGGACATGACTCTTTCACTAATAATCTTTTCTCATAATGGCATGTGAAAAGTAGCATCATTTTTAATTGGCTTTTTCTGCCATAATTACTGTTCTACCACAAATACAAGTGTCTTGCTAAAGAATACCTAGTGGAACAAGTTTGAATTATATACAGATTTGGATGAATATAATGTTTTGGTGGTTCCATAATATTCCAAATGAGAGGTATCAAGTGGAAACATTATCTATGATTTTTTTTTGTTTTGTTTTATTTCTTGGGACAAGGTTTCACTATGTAGTCCAAGCTGTCCTGGAACTCATGAGATCCTCCTGCCTCAGCCTCCCAAGTGCCAGTAACAGATATATGCTGTCCACACCTGTCTTCATCTTTTATTCTTTATGCTGTGCATATGCTGTAATTTCATGTGTTCAGACAAGCGTTTATATTCAGCCTCCACCTAGAGTACCTCTAAAAATGACTGTTACTACTTTATTTTTTATGTACAATTTTTGACCCTCAGATAGCCATGCACAGGCCAGATGTGGTAGCAACTGCCTGCAATACCAAAACTTGGGAGGCTGAAGCATGAGGATCACCATGAGTTCAAGGCCAGTTTGAATTACATAGCAAGACCCTGTCTCAAAAACAAACAACAAAAAAATCAAATAGCTGTGAACTGTTGACTGCTCTTTAGGGACAGCTCAATCTACTGAACTAGACACTAAGGAAGATTTTGCATTGAGAAGATAAAGTTCTGAATCACTGCATTATGTCCCAGGAAACCCTCAGCTGGTTAGTCATCTGAGCAACTTGAAATGTATCTGATATAGTGGAGGGAGAATTGAATGAATTGTATGTGACCTGTAGCTACTATCATCCCGTCAGTTACTACACATGAAAGAGAGCAAGGGAGTCAGGAATGACTCACTATTCACAAAAACTGCAGTTTAAGAAATATATAATGCTATAATATAACATATGAATTAATGAAGCGGTATCAGCAAATTCTCAAGGGAAAGTATCAAGGACATCAAATTCTAATAATCTCAGTATAGAAGTCCATCACCTGCCTTAACATCCAGAAGTGACTGCCTCACACTTCTCTACCCCCCATCCATGGTCTTGTCTTTTTTTTCTTTGTCAGGTAGAATACCCTTACATATTTTATGTAGTAACTATACCTATAAACTTGTTTTCATTTTTTAAATTAATATATTGGATCCACACCATACTTCTCCCAGGTCCATAGGTCTTTTGCAATTCACATACATTAACCCAACAAATTGTGTACTATTACGTCCATTTATTTATTTATGGTACAGGGAATTGAACTTATGACCTCATGCTTGCCAGGCAGGCGCTGTGCCTCTGAGCTATATCCCAAGCCACTATTATGTCCATTTAAAAAGTCAGAATAAGCAGCACAGACACTAACTTGCCCAAGGTCCCACAGCCAGGTGAGTAGTAGCATAAGATTCTAAAAATAGTAAGTGATAACAGTAATGCAAAGTAAGATGAGAAAGACAGAAAAGGAACTGATTTTTACTAAGGCGCAGTGGATGCCAGGAACTGTTCCAAACTGACTCATACATGTTAGTTCAAATTTCCATAACGCTCACTGGTGCAGACCAGGCACTCAACAAGTATCTGCTGAGTGCTTAACAAATGGGACAACCTGGACAACTGAGGATAACTACTATGACTTAATTCCCATGACTATTCTTTCTCAATCCTCAGTGACTGAAGTATGGGGACTGAACCCAGGACCTTCTACTGAACTACATCCCCACCACACTTTACAAAATGTTCTTTCTCAATAACGGAATAAAAAAAAATCTGATTTCCACATTTATTCTAATGTAGCTAATTCACATCATACTCAAATTTCCTCATTACCCTGAAATTTTTGTATACTGCTATGAATTCTGTGTAATGAAGTCTTATCTCAATTAATGCTTTATAGCTTTTTACCTAAATTTAGAATACAGAAACCTAGATTAATGTTTTAGTTGCTTAGAATCTTTACAAGATCACAAAATTTCGAGGGTACAGTCTGTATCTAATAATCTCCTTAGCACTGTGTCTACAATTCTTTCAGACTTTCTAGTTTTATAACATTTCATCCTATTGCACAGCACCACCCACATACCAATTTTACCTGTCTCTTCCTACACTTCTAATATGCATTTTTTGCCCCAGAGAATTAATATGTAAAATCGTCAAAACTTACAGCATTCTTTAAATGCATGGCAGTTAGCAAGTATTATTTAAGGCCTATGTGTTTCTTCTTCCATGGGACCTTGTGACAATTTTATGACCTTGCAGGTTAACTGCCTCAACGTGTTTTGGAGACAGTGCTGGATGTCTTTCCTTTCCTCATCAACTAAAGTCCCTTCTACATGCACGACCATTAGCATTCGTTTCTCAATACTCAGCAACGCGTCTGCTACAGTAAGTGCTCAACGAAACAATCACATCTTAAAGGGTCACTCTGCCCCGCACTGGAATGCTTCCAAAGGCATCAAGGACACACAATACAACTTGGGGTCACCCTAGGCGTTTTCCGCATGTCTCTCCTTCACCTGGTGGGCCTGCTAAAGGCTTCTCTGGCCTTGATGGCGGGTACGTAGTGGAAGCTTTGTAACTATTTATCAAGAGGATTAATTCGAGTATCGTTCCGTCACTAATCCGAAATAAGGACTCAGTCTCGAGGTCCCAAGGGGCCCTCTCAGCCCTAGAGGACGTGGCATGACCTTGCTCCGACTCCGGCTCCGTTCCTAGCGTACGCCCTTCCCGCTAGGAGGCTGCTTCCTGCAGCCCAAGCAACCTGGGCGACGGCGTGGCCCTACAACCCCGGGTCCGTCCTACACGCCCCAAACCCTTCTTTCAGCCTATCTGACTGAATGCTTCTATTACACGCAATCTTCCCAACCCTCCTGCAAGCTGTCATACCATTGCGGTTGTAAGGCTAAGGCCGATAGCCCAACGACGTTCGCCCGAGAGAACATGGTAGCAAGCAGCTTTGCTGAAGGTCGGGCAGACAGGCGCTCTGGCGCATGCGCCCTTCCCAACCTCGCTCGCTCTGTCAGTCTCGTTTCCTCGCGCCTGAAAGAAGTCTCGCGATCTTTGGTGACTTGCTCTTTCCAGGACCTACCCTTTTCTGGCTGTCAGTTTTGTCCCGCCTACCGCTACATTCTACTTCCGCTTCCGATCGACGTGGTTGCTTTCTCCTGGAAGTGGTCACCTCGGTGGTCGTAATGGGGAAGTCAGACTTTCTTACCCCCAAGGCTATCGCCAATAGGATTAAATCCAAAGGGCTTCAGAAGCTGCGCTGGTATTGCCAGATGTGTCAGAAGCAATGCCGGGACGAGGTAAGTGGGCCTGGGATCGCCCCGTATTCCCTGAGGAACCTACGGGAAATCCAGGTTCAACTCCTGACGCCTGTGAGGGCGCGGGTCTCGGGTTCCCGTCGCGAGATTTCTGAGGTGCGCTCTGACCAAGTCAACTACTCGACCCATTATAGCTGTCTTTTCTTGCCATGTGCAGCCCTGGCGGGACCTCTGTGATCTGTGACACTCTTCGTGGTTTTTCCCCTCCAAAAGAAATGAAATCGAAAGGTTTTGCAGCTTTTGTAGAGGCGTGAATAGCGAGTGTAGGGCGGGGCGCCCTGACTTGACGCTTGAGAGAAACAGGATGCTTAGGGAGTTGTACCCTCAGAACCTAATCTAAATTTAATTATTTCCCAAAGGCCCTGCTTCCTAATGTCACCCCATTGGGGGTTAGAGTTTCAACATATGAATTTTGGAATTCCATAATACCCTGATGTGACACTTTTTCTTTGCTGTATTTTATTTCAGAAATAGTTTAAACATCAAGATGTTTCATGTCTAAATACTTAAATGTGTACATAAAAACCTCAAAACTTTTCTATATAACTGCAATATAGGTTAATACGTCATCAATATAACAAAATTAATAAAAATTCCTCAACATTATCTGATTGAGTGATGGTAATCCTTTTAGAACTTTCAGTAAAGCAGCCCTCTGCCGCACACAAGACAAAAGTTTGCCACCACTGATCTGATACATACTCATTACTACTTCCTTTGTTGTCCCCCAGTTATTTTTTAAAGCAGCCTTTTTTTGGTTATTATTATTACTATTTTTTTTTTTTTTTTGAGACAGGGTCTCTTCGTGTAGTTTAGGCTGGCCTTGAACTCACAGTTACCTTGCCTCAGTCTCCCTAGTGCTGAGATTGCAGAAGTGGGCTACCATACCCGGTTTTAAAGCTGTTTTTAAAAAAAAACAAGATCCAATCAAAAGTCCTGAATTGAATTTAGTTGCTAGGGCTTTTAAAATATATATATATAAAAAATATATTTAAATTTTCTGGAAAATGAATTATTTGTAATTAGCGTACAGGCTAATAAGAAATCTCAGATTGCTAGACATGCAGACTAAGTACAAGAAATGAATTTGTAGTAGGCTGTAGGCATCTTGCCTGATTGTCAGATTTCTTCCCACATGAAAATTATCACTTCTGATACTTACATGTCCTAGTCGCCTCATATAATTATGTCCTTTAAATCCCTTTTATATCTTATTGTGCTATATATATTTGCAAAATTCACTGTATGCTGACACATACTCCTTTTGTTTCAAATTTTGGGAAATTGGGTTCAATGCAATTAAATACTCTGAAGTGTTTATATTCTTAACAACTCTTTGGTTTTTCTCCCCACCTAAACTGGCCTAATCCATGTAAAAAAAATTTTTTTTTGCTATTATACAGGAAGACCAAATATATTGGATTGTCAAAAATCTCACATGGTCTCATGTGGTGATGCTTTTCTCAGAGGTAGCTGGATCTACAGTATGTAGATGTTGGGATTAAAGGCATGCAATAGTTAAATCCATATACTGGTTTGGCACTGCCCTCATCCCAGTAGCCCAGATATAGTATAAAAGGGACAGAAAAGAGCTGCTAAGATCCCTCTTCCTCACTTGCTTTTGCTGTCTTCTGCTTGACATAGACTGGTTTTCTTCTGCTTTGCCCCTCTGCCATGTGCCACTCTGTCTTGGAACCACCAATTGTGAACTGAAACCTCTGCAAACTGTGAGCTAAACAAACTTATCCCCCTTTAACTTTGGGTGTTGGGTATTTTGTCTAAGCAGCAAAAGTAACTATGACACCAACTCTCAAGGGATCACATTACTCTGATAGCCACAGTTACATGCTTGAGATTTCTTGTTCAGAGCTACTCATTGCTGGAGGAATCAAGCTGCCACCTGACCATTTCTTCATCTCAAATGTGGGATAACAGTACCTGCCTCAGAGATGTAAGAGTTCAATGAAAGGCTTCCCTGGAGCACCTGCCACGTGGCCTTGTCACCACCAGTGTGTCCTTCTACTCTAACTCCTATGACATATGCACACATTTTATACCCTCTTCAACCTTGTATTCAAATCTGTCATTAAAATGCTTGGGACAGTACCATAAGAGATGTTCAGATCCTCTGAAATTTTCCTAATAGTCATTTATTTGATAGAATCATTTTGCTTACTTTTTCAGCAGTCTCTCAGGTTTTTGAGGTTAGGGCCCTGTTATATCCGTGTTAACAGATTCACAAACCCTTGGGAAATCACTCAAGCCACTTATTAACTGTCTTCCTGGTCACTGCAGAGCACTGTCAACTAACTTGAACATTTCATGTTTTTCTTTTGTAATTTTTTGTAGTTTGAAACAAAATTTTGCATTAATGTATTGTTCGTGATCATTATTTATGGCGCTTTTTAAAACCACACCTCTGCAGTACAGCTCAGACCAGTTGCCCTGAACAGGTTGAAGTTGTCACATACCGTTCATAAGGTTCCATGTACTCTTCTCCTATTGTTGGTCTATGCCTTTTTGTTGGGTGGCCAAATACATTTTTCATTTTTACCACACTACTTATGTTTAAGAATATCTCAGCTTGTTAGAGGCTGCTGCCTGTTGTAACTATAGAATAACAGTTGGTATCAGCTGAAACACCTGTATGAGCAGGTCCTAGCTTCAATGGCTTGTGCCTGAGCTTTTCAGCCTGCACTCAGAACTTAGACTGCTGACCTCTGCATATGTTAGAGACAAACTCCCAAGACTTTGAGTTGGCCGTAGTCTGGGTTCTTGTGAGACCCTCCTGGAACCTGCTAAAAAGTGGTGGGTCTTCTTGTAGCCTCCCAGAACAAAACAAAACAGAAGCATGTGCGTAACACTTTATGAAGGAGGTGCTGAATAAAAATTGGTTAAATTGAATCCACTCTTGCTACTGTGCCTTGTAATGTCTGTTATTGATGTCTGGTTTTATGTGGTACTGTTTTTCAATCTCTTTGTCAGAGATTATTCTTCAGTTACCACAGTTGCAAAACACAAAACCATAAGAAGTATAAATAAAAAAAACTAGAGGGTGATTGTTGCTAGTCACTAGATTTTTACAATTTATTGTTAAACATGAGATTTTTTAGGAATTAAATACTTCTATTCAAAGTCTGCTTTGATGATATACATCAGAATTTAACTGCTACTTTTATATTTTTTGTAGAATGGCTTTAAGTGTCATTGTATGTCAGAATCTCATCAGAGACAGCTATTGCTGGCTTCAGAAAATCCTCAGCAGTTTATGGATTATTTTTCAGAGTAAGTAACTCAAGGACATCCTTATCTCATAAGCTTTATTCAAGTGGACGTTTAATGGGTATCTGTTACCACTTACTAGATATCTGTTATTCATTTTCATGTTAAAATGATAGCTATATTTCTATGTTCAATTTTATCTTCTTTTGAAAATGTTTAGTGTGAAATTGTTACAAATGTACTGCCTACAACTATTTGTCTTTTCTTCCTTCCCATTTCAAATGTACAGAACTGTAAAACTATCTTTCACTTGACAGGGCTCTAAGGAACAGCACAAGCTGTTTTGTCAGCTGTCTGACTTTAAATCCTTCTATACACAGAACTTTTGAAGTGTGGATGGGTTTTCTGTGTTTAATCTCCTGATTTATGAAACAGCACTAAAAATGGCTCCTCTTCCAAGTATTGTTGATCTTTCCAGGGTTTTTAGGAGAATCGAGTTAATGCTTTTAAAATCTTAGAAGAGTACCCAGTACTCAATTAAAATTAGCTGTTAATTATTGTCATTGCTGTTAATATTTAGTTGTGTTTCTATGAATCTTTTTGTTTCCAAACTGCTAAAGCTTTTGGTCTGAGACTTTTTTCCATTTACTGAAGACCTCAAATAGTGTTTCTCTTAGTGTGGCTTGTAAGTATCAATACTTAGAAGTTAAAACTCAGAAATTTCTTTTTTTGGTACTAAGGTTAAAATAATGTTTTTAATGAAAAAAATATTTTCTGAATAAAAATTTAAAAATAACATTTTAGAAAGCTCTTTAGCATTTTAAAATGCTCTTTAGTATTCACTTCATAGAACACAGTTGGATTCTCATATCTCTTACATTTAGTCTGTCATGAAATACTGTCTGGATTGAAGCATGTAAAGAAAATCTAGGCTTTAAGTAGATACATTGTTTAAAGGGGAGAAGTGTTTTAATAATCTCTTCAAATATTTTCAGATACTCTTCTTTGATAACTACATCAAAACACTATGTGTGGCAGCTTCTCAAAAATTAGTTGCACTGTAGAATCTGAAACCAAATCCATGAACTTTTTATACTGTTACATTAAAGTCTGTTGGTCTATCTTTTGAGCAGACCTTGTCCTCCTGTGTCCATCATGTTAGTCATTCAGAACATATACATTCACTGAGTTACCCAGATCCTGCAAACCGTGACACATTTTATCTAAAAGTGCCATCAAATCATATTCATTAATGTCAACGTTGATGTCATCAGAACATTGGCAGATTTGGGAAGTATGGCAAGCTCACAGTAAAACTCTGCTTGGTGCTTATGAGCTCAAATTTTGTCATTGGCAACAAATACTGTCAGTTGTTTTCCATGACGTGACAGGCTTTCATTGTTTATTTTTGAGAAAATGTGTTAATGCCCAATTTGGAACAGTGATAGTTTATGTCTCAATTGTCTTTTTAAGTAAAACCTAGTGTCATATGAAACATATTTCAGCTTATGGCTCAGTCAAGATGCTTTTCTCAACTAATACACAGCAATAGCAGCCATGGCAGTTTATTCATGTTTCTCATTTCAGCACAGAAAATTAGAAAGACAGGTTCTTAAGGAATGAGATTTAATGATATATTTAAAATGCAATTGAAAGTCAAAACAAAAAAAGGAATTTTACTACTTTATCAAGGCCATTCTAGATGAAATAGCTATGGCTTTTCCTCTGATACATGATACTGAAGGATCCATTGCCTGTTGGTGGTTTGACAGTAGCCCACTTCTTTCACTTTTGTGCTGAGCTTCTGGCATGCTTACCCTACACTACTTGGCTGTCATCAGTGCAAGCAGCACAGTGACAAACGCTTATCCATGACCACCTAAAACCACACTGAGGATCAGAGGCTGCATGTGCTGCACTTTGGGAAATACTATTCTGACAAGGCAATCTGTATTCACTGCCACTTCATTCACTCTGTCTGCCGACTTCTACAAGAACTGTTTAGACTCCTGAAGTTGCTTGTGCCTTTTTCCATCTTCGTCTTGATCTTTGTACAGTGCATAATGTTTGTAACTTCACTGGAACGCTTCCGTGTTTCATCTTCTTTCATGATCTTCCCATCTGTACTTTTGTACTTTCTCTCTTCACTAACTCCTCTCCCACTCTCAGATCCTTGAATGCAGAAAGGTTCTTCAAGATGCCTTCTTTTCTTCAAGATTGTCCTCTTTTCATTCCACACCGCACAGTCTCCATGACTCCCATTAGTCTTTTTTTTCTCTTTCTTTTTTTTCTTTTTTTTATCGGTACCGGGGATTGAACTCACGACTGCCTACTTGCAAGGCAGGTGCTTATGCCGCTGAGCTAAATCCCCAGCCCCTGCCATTAGTCTTTTTTAACTGTTACCTTTATACCTGATGTCAGCGTTGCACTACAAATATTTATTTTTTCTTGACTACACTAATCTGTATCTCCAAAGAGTTTTTCATAGCCAGCGTTTCTAAAACTGAACTCAATATCCCCATTCCCCTTAGCCTGTTTCTTACTCTTGTGTTGTGTAATAACTATCAATCCAGACTCCTAAACTGTAAAACTTGAGTTCTCTTGGAATCACTTCTTGTGGATTCTCCTTTGTACTGTGCTTCCCATTCTCACTGCCCTGGTAAGGTACCTCTCAGCATCTCTCACTGAATTATTCAGTGACTTCCTAATACGCACTTTCCGCCCGTCTTCGTGTGTTTTATGCTAGTAGTTCACCAACCCCTGTGTTCATCAGAATTAGTTGCAGTGCTCAACAAAATGGCCACTTCTCCACATTTCTGTCTAATTCCAATGACAGTGATGCAGCTTCTTTGGGGACTGGACTTGGAGAATTATTGTTCTCTCCACTATGATTATCTTTCTAAATTACAGATCTTAACAAATTAATTTCACAACTAAATTATCTAGTCTTTTTCTATTGCCTTCATAAAATACAGCCTCTTTAACATAATATTCAAGGTGCTTCAAAAAGTATTACTTTCTAGTTACTTTCTGTCCTGTTAGTCTGTTTTAACCCCTACAGTCACCCCATTTTTCAGTGCCCTCACGTTTAGTCAAAGTAGCTTAAGTGTCACTTCTCAAATAGCACAGGGTACTATACCAGCTGAGAATAGCCTTCCTTCTTTTCTACCTATAAAAAAGTCTTACTTATGTTTCACTGTCCATATTAAAGTCATTTGTCAGCATTCCCTTTATTTTTTAGTAAAGAGATTATCACATCACTTCTATAATTTAAGTTGTTATCATTGGTTCTGGTAGGTTGTAATCTGCTTGAAGGTGAAAATTATATCTTGTTTACCTTTGCTTATCTGGCACTTAATATGGTGTACCTGTTTCAGAGAGACATATTAAGTGGCATTTTCACAAGGAATAATGAGTGTTGTATCACAGATAGAATGAATATATTATGTCATGCTCAATAGTACTGAGAGACTTTGTGAAAAGCCCTCTGTACAAGTAGGTGGTAACTTTTACTGTGATTGGTTTACCAGGACAAAACATTTCAACTTCAAAATGACTTTTACCATTAATCCTTGAAAACTAATCTTTTGAAGTCTTTTCTTACTCAGATTTTGTGGGTTCCTACTAATCAGATAAATTTTTTATATATCATTTGGACATTAAAAGTGGATAACTGCTTAGCGGGGTGTGGTGGTACATGCCTGTAGTCCCAGCACTTGGGAGGCTGAGGCAGGAGGATCTCTGTGAGTTCAAGGCCAACCTGGACTATATAAGCAAGACCCTGTCTCAAAAAAAAAAAAAAAAAAAGTATTACTGCTTAAATTTCAGGAAGGTGATGGTATATATTTGTAGAAAGTACTTTAATGTTTTCCTTTCTTTCTTCACTAGGGAATTCCGCAATGACTTTTTAGAACTTCTCAGGAGACGCTTTGGTAAACATCTTAACTATTGTGTAAATAATAACTTCATAATTGTGTAATGTCAGGATCAACAGTGTCATATTTTCTTCTTAGGCACCAAACGAGTCCATAACAATATTGTCTACAATGAGTACATCAGCCACCGAGAACATATTCATATGAATGCTACTCAGTGGGAAACACTGACTGACTTTACTAAGTGGCTGGGCAGAGAAGGTAAAATGAGATTATTCTGATAATTGTTGGTTTGTTGACAAAAAAGGAACACTTGTCACTTTCTATATTCACACAAAGAATTCATAGGGCAGTGTAAAAACTGGAGGAGAATTCTGGCATCATGATGTACACCTATAAATCCAACATTCTGGGATGCTGGGGCAGGAGGATCACAAGTTTGAGTCCAACCTGGGTGACTTAGCTGTTTAGCAAGACCTGTCTCAAAATTAAAATAAGGCTAGGGATATAAGTTCAGTGTGAATGGTCCAGGGTCAGTTCCCAGTACTGCAAGAAAAACTGGAGGGGAATGTACTGTCCTGGGATTGATTTTGCTTATTATAGTTGATTATGAATATCTGAAATAGTTCTTTTGACAATTCAAGTATTTATCACTGGAGCGTTGTTGGAGAGGTATCAGTAATCTCTTCCATCCTTCTTTCCCATATTTATTTAGCTTTATGGAACTTTTCTCACTCCAACTTAAGGTGATTTTTGAAAATGATTTCTTTTTCCATTTCTAATCTTCATAGGGTGAGAAATTAGGAAGAAAAAGGAGTTTTAAGCCAGTATACTTTGGGGATCAAACGCATGACCTCATGCTTGCCAGGCAGGCACTTATGTCACTGAGTAAATCCCTGACCCACCAATATACTTTTTATTGAGTATGTTACTTTGTTTCACTTCAAATTAACAGAACATCATGCTCTCATTCATTATTAGTTAGGTAAGTATGAGAGAAAAATTACTATGCAAGATAATACTTTTTTCAGGTATTTTCCTTGTTTAAACATCTTGCCTCAGTGTAGCTATATAAAAATCCTAATGATATTTGTTTTCTACTTGGAGATAAAAAAAATTCTGTTTGTACCTGAGCTTCATTAAATGTAAATATGAAAATTTCATGTGCTTCATGAGTCTGTATATTTGGTTATATTTGAATGATTGAGAAAATATGCAAAGATGGAACACGTTTATATTTCCATTTGCTCAGACTGTATACTAATGGGTAATGCCTGTTGTTCTCTTCAGGCCTGTGCAAAGTGGATGAGACCCCTAAAGGTTGGTATATTCAGTACATAGACAGGGACCCAGAGACCATTCGCCGGCAGCTCGAGCTAGAGAAGAAGAAAAAGCAGGACCTTGATGATGAAGAAAAAACCGCCAAATTTATTGAAGAACAAGTGCGAAGAGGTCTGGAAGGGAAGGAGCAGGTGAGCAACAGTATCATTCAGACGGGCAATGTCAAAAGGCCTAAAGAAGTAAAATTGCTTGTGTTTTAAAACATTGAATCGGAATTTTAGACGGGGAGAAAGAGGATGGTGTGGTGTAAAAGCATAGTCTTTGGAGTTGAGGTAACTAATTCCTGACTTACTGACTTCGTGCTTTTACATATTTATAGAAGTTTTGTGAACCTCAGTCTCCTCAGCTCTAAAACAGACATGTAAGTAGATCATTTCAACTAATTGTAATTACTGCAATGCTAGAGATAAATGCAGTGCATGGGTGAGCACCATTCTGTCCCAGAGAAGACAAAAAATGTTTGAAGGTAAACCCCAGAGCCAAGGGATTTTGAAGACTAAATCGATGAGAACCTGGAGAATGGACAAAGGAAGATATGGTAAAGGGGTTCAGGTATTAGAATAACTAGACCAAGGCATTTATTTTTACAGATATTTGTGGTACCAGGACTTTTCTAGGTGTTGGGTACACGCAGTGCACAAAAGATGCAAAAACTGCACTTCAGAGGCTTGCATTTTAACAGTTGTGAGCAGGAAAATACAGCTGGCTGTGTAAGTGAAAGTAGTTAATTTAAGATTTAAAAGCTATATTAAGCTCTAACCAGGTTCCAGTAAAGTATAAGTTACTCATTAATCTTGCAGGTATATTGAACTTCTTTATATATTGGGGGGAGGAGACAAACAAGCAGATGAGTAAGGGAGAGCCTGTATACTCACACCTAAATAGCTAGGGCATTTTTAGCGTTCCAGAAGTTTCCCTCATGCTTATTCCCACTTAGTACCTTATTCTCTAAAAGTAACAACTTTCTAATATGCTACTTTTAGTTATTGGTTAGTTCAGTCCATTCTTAAACCTCATATAAATCAAATCCTACTATATGTTCCTTTTTGTGTCTGAATTAAAACTCAAACACAATGTTGTACATTTTATCCATTTCTTTCCTATGTCTAATTTTTAAATTTTTAAAATAAATATATAAAAGCATAAACATTGAATATTATTTAGTATCGCATAATGTTTTAACACATATATACAACTGTGTAATCAGGGTAAATATCTCAAACATTTCTCATTCTTTTTTATATTTTAAATTGATGTATGGTAACCCATTTTGTAAGTCAAACATAATCTGTTTTTCTGCTGAGGCACATTTGGCTTGATTTCAGTTTTTCACTACTATGAAGACCGTTGCACTGGTCATTATTGCATAGTCTTCTGGAAGCCATTTAACAAAGGGTAGTGCAGGAAGTGGGAGGCTATAAGACTTAAGATATTGGTAAGGATCAGTTTACCAACTACATTTTATATCATATTAATTGAGCTTTTGTTGTTATTGTTGTTTTGTTTTGTTTTGGTACCATGAATCAAACTCAGGTCCTTGCGCTTCCCAGGCCAGTGCTGTGCCACTGAGCTATGTCTCTGGCCCCCTCTTTTTTTTTTTTTTTTTTTTTTTTTTTTTTTGATACCAAGGATCAAACTCATCACCTCACACTTGGCAGGCAGGTGCTTATGCCACTGAGATAAATCTCCAGCCCTTCTCTCACCTTTTTAAAGTTTAAATTTCTGTTTTCAGTAGATCAAAGAAAATTTAATTTCATATTGTGAAAATTAAGAATTGTATCTTCTTATATAGAGCAAAGTGGAGAAAACAGTTTACTTTTTGGAATAACATTATTGTTTGATAACATTTTTGTTACTACTGCTAACACTTTCTAGTTCTTTTGTATTTTATAGCTCTAAATAGTATCTTTATAGAAAGATAAGGGAAATCCTACTGATGAATACATCCTCATTCAGCACTTAAATATATCAGTTATGAGTAAGATTATGTGCATTTGCCTTGCCATATAAAAGTTTATATGGGTATTACCTGAGAAAGGAATATTTCAGTTAGACCTCAAGATATCTTTTATTTAGTTGGTAGAAACAACAATTAATATTTATGGACTGCCTATTATAGAAAACATTCCGTTCAGTGTTTCCTACATTCTTTATTCTATTTAATCCTGTGTATTGGTCACCTTCTCACTTGCTGGGACAAAAATCCCTGACACCTGCAACATGAAGAAGGAAAGGTTTTTTGAGGGGGCTCACTGTTTCAGAAAGTTGCAGTCCATCATTGACTGGTCCCAAGACTGCACCATCACTACAGGGGAAAGCTGCTCAGGTTATGGCACCTGGGAAGCAGAGAGCAAGCAAAGAGCATCAGAGAGGAAAAAACCAGGGACCAGATGTAGTCCCCAAGCTCACACCCCCTGACCTGAGTCTCCAACTGGGTCCCACCTCCTAATAGCCCATTCGGCTGTGAATTCATTGGTAACTTTGCCCATTGATGGAGAGCACCTACAATATAAGCCTTTGAGGGACTCTTCATACTTAAACTATAACACCTCCTCTATGTGTCAGAGCCCCTTGTGCCACCCTCTTAAATAGGGGACATAGCTTTTAAGGTCTACTCAGATGAGATGATCTCTTCATCTCAAAATCTGTGACTTAGCCTGATTTTCAGAAACTTTTGTTTTGTTTTTCCAAACACAGTAATATTTATAGGTTTCGGAGGTGAGGAGCTGATATGAGTCTACTGAGCCTGATGTACCTTTATGTCAAGCCTTGATATTATTGTTAGTAAAATATTAATTTTATTTGATCAAGCTCTTATGACTTCAGTTTCAGTTATTTGTATTACTGTGTAAATAATGTCACAGATAATACAATTGAAAGATTCAACTAAATATTTTTCTGTGAGATAATAGTATATGTTTATAGGATTGGAGATCTGTTCTTCTGCTGACTTCTCTCATTTAAAGATAAGAGCACAATAACTCTGACAAGGCCTTTTGCTTGCTAGATAAGTGTTCTTACACTGAGCTAAACTTCCAGCCCCTAAAAGAAGGTTTTGCTTTTCAAAGTAGTTCCATAGTTATGATTCCTGGAGATCAATGTGTTACCATTGTATTGTTGTTTTACTATTTAAATTCTAATCAAAGTGAAAAATATAGGCAGGCCTCTGCAGTTTTATATAAAAAATACTCCTGTTTTTGCTTTAGAATAATTGTTAATTGGACAATGTCTGCCATGCATGTGACTTTTTTTTTTTTTTAAGACTCCTAATCACCTTAGAGTTTGCTTCATAACATACGTTATTGAATGTAAGTGCCCTGTAAACCTAATCTTCAGGTTCTCTTGCTCTCTCTCTTTCAGGAGGCCCCTGTCTTTACAGAATTAAGCAGAGAAAATGATGAAGAGAAAGGTAGTTTAAATTTTCCTTCCCTTTTTTTTGTACACTTAGATGCTTTTGTACTGTCTTTGCCAAAAGCTAGCAGTGTATCTGAAAATAAGATATTTACTCTGTCAGTTACAATGCTTTTATCTTTAAAATGAAAAAGTAATATTATGAATTAGAGGAACATCTTTAGATATAAGTAACAAGATCAAATGAAACTAGCCTAAATGATAAGGAAATATCTTGCCATAATCAGAATCCCAGAAGTAAAATGATTTGACATGCCCTGCAAACACACAGGGTAGCTGCTGGCAATTCATTCATCACATCCAGACTCAGCATTTTCCAAAGAATGGCAGAGAACATCTCTTCTGAAGTCCCATAGATTAAGGATGTTTTCCTGGAAGACACTTCTCTTTCCAGTGGACTTCTTTTGAGTGTCATTGGCCAGAACTACATCACATATCTAACCTTAAAAGCAGTTTCAGGGATTATACTGATTGCTTTAAACAACCAGAATTAGCCCCAAACTGAAAATGGTATTCTGTCCCCTGAATTGCTGGCCAAAGGTTTGGACACTTACGTAGAGCAAGAGAACCATTAGCAAGGGGAAGTGGGATTTGGAGTAGTGAAGCAGCAAGTGTTGTCTGCTGGAGGCATAATGTGGGGGCCCTTGCAGATCCACAGGAGTCCGCAAGGGACCTTTAGAGGAATCTGGGATCTGGAGAGGAGCATTTTAGTCTTGTTACTAAAATGTCTGTGGACTTCCATTATCTGAGAAATTTTATTATAATCCCCAAAGAAATATATATATATATACACACTGGCAGTAACCTTTTTTCTTCTAGTTACATTTAATCTGAATAAAGGAGCATGTAGTTCATCAGGAGCAACAACTTCCAAATCAAGGTAAGCTACAGTAACAGTTAAATGTATAACCATTAAGTAATAGTTGAAAATTAAGAAACTTTGTGGAATATTGGTTTATATGCTTTAAAATATTGTGACTTGGGGCTGGGGATTTAGCGCAGTGGCATAAGTGCCTGCCTTGCAAGCTGGGAGTCGTGAGTTCAATCCCCGGTACCAATAAAAAAGAAAAAGACACACACAAAAAAAATATTGTCTCTCATTTTTTTCTGGTTACAGTTTGTGTTTTAGTTTGTGTTTGTTGTTTGATTAGGGCTATTTTTAACTTCCTTTTGATGAAATGATTCTCTTTTGAGGAATGACTCATTTTATTTTATTTTTTTGAGATGAGAATTCCACTCATGTGTGCCCTAGCTACCTTGGAACTCCTGGACTCAAGCAGTCCTCTTGCCTCAGCCTTCTGAGTAGCTGGAATACAGGCATGCGCTACAATACCCAACTTAAAAAGGCTCATTAATGCTGAAATGCTTCACATTGATCATGTTTGGTTCTCTGTTTACTGTCCTCTATTTAATGTCTACTTTTGTGTTACTGCACTCTACAATCCTATTCTCCTATCACAGCCCACTTTACAGTTTAAATGTTAATTATCTGTACAATTACAATTTCCAAAGAAAAGAGAGTAGAGTATCAACCAGTCTCCATATTACACAGTGTAGTATAAATTCCTATTTGGAAATAAAATAACACTGCTGTAGGAATATGCATACCATAGTGAATTATGAGAGTGTTCCAGGAAGTTAAGGCAAGGGAATGTTATTAAAGGCAAAAATGAGGAGGATTTCATAAAATATTTTGAAACAATAGGTAAATAACAAGGATGGCACCCTTCACTCAAGGTTGAACAGTAACTAGACAGATGTCGGTGTAGAAGTACTTTTTGTGTAAGACTGTAGTAGCCATGTAAAAGGTGATAATTCTGGTAGACTCTTTTATAATTATCAGGCAATCATGTTTAAGGACTCTTCCTATATTCATAACTTCTCACTTTATTATGTTTTCTTTAAGGTTGATACAAATGACTCCATTTTTATTTTGATAACTTTCACATTTTCCATTCTTTTTATTCCTTATTATTTCTTGGCATAGATGAATATGTATTAAGATCTGTTCTACTGGCCTCCAAAATCCAAAACTTATAGTAGTTTTATTTGGCTACTATGGTATAGCAAATTATCACAAACTAGTTGGTTTAAAATAATAGAAATGTGTTTCTCTGGAGGCCAGAATTCAGAAATCAGAATCACTGGGCTGATTTGTAATGTTGTGATCCTTCCAGAGCCTCTGGGGGAGAATCTGTTCTTTGTCTTCTCCCCTTTTGGTGGCTGCTAGCATTTGTTGGCTGGTGATTGTACTCTTCTGGTTTTCAAGACCAATATCTTCAAACTTCTTTTCTCTGTCTTTGCCTCGTCTGTAGTAGTCAGTTTTCCATTGCTGGGACAAAATACCCAATATAAATAATTTAAGGGGAAAAAAGTTTTATCACATCCAGTGATTGCAGTGGTTTCCATTCATGGTTAGCTGGCTCCAAGATTGTAACATCACAGCAGAACAGCATGGTGGAGAAAAAATCTTGCTGTTATAGTAGCCAGGAAGTCAACAGGCAAGAAGGAGCCAAAGATAGGCCCTTCGAGCTGGATATGGTGGATATACATATAATCTCAGCACTTGGGAGACTGAGGCAGAAGGATTTCCACAAGTTGAGGCCAGCCTGGGCTACACACTTGAGTTCAAGGCTAGCCGAAATACATAACAAGACCCTATCTCAAAAGACCCTTTGAAAGCATGCCCCAAGTTAGTAGGTCCCACCTTCCAATAACCTATTCAACTATGAATTCATCAGTGGATTACTACATTGATAGGCTTAGCATCATCAATATATGAGTCTTTGGGGGACACTTCATATTTAAAATATAGCACCCTCTCCATGTATCATCTCACTGTGCCTTCCTCTTATTAGAGATGACTACACATAAGCTCTACTCAGATTGGATAATCTCTTTAATAATCTTTATGTGATTTTCAAAGACCCTTTTTCCAAATAAGGTAGCAAGTATAGATTTCAGGGATAAGAACCTGATATCTATAGTGATCTACGTAACCTGCTACACCCTTATGTCAAGTCTTGATATTATTAGTAAAATACTAACTTTATTTGACTAAGCTCTGTGAATTCTGTCTCTGTTATTTATATTATTATATGCAAATAGTTTCACAGATAATACAGTTGAAAGAGTCATCTAAATTTTTTTTTCTTGAAATTATGGTATATATTCATAGGTGTATGGTATATGTTCTTCCGTTGATTCATATCCAAAATTTAGAATGAAGTAAATGATGTAAATATTAGAACAGACATTTTAGGCTTGTTGAGGCACGCAAAAAAAGTCCTTCTTCCCCATTGGTTGAAGTAAGTTACTTAATGTTATTTTCCTTCTTCTTTTTTTTTTTTTTTTTTTTTTTTTCTTTTTTGGAGATAAGGTTTCATTATATAGTTCGGGCTAGGCTCAAACTCATAACAATTCTCCTGTCTCAACCTCCCAAGTGCTAGGATTACAGGCATGGGCCACCATGCCCAGCAGGTTACTTAATTATTTTTAATTTTTATATGGAGTCCAAGGTTGGACAGACCTCTATATGGCACGGATTCACTCTAGTTATTGAAAACAGAAATTTAGGGCTCTTTTAGAAGACTTTTATCTGCAAATTCTGATCTGTTAACATTCATTTCCTGTCTTTAACCCCGTATTAGCTCTGCTTCAATCTCTAATAGAATTCTGATATTTGAAGCAAAACAATCTTTGTAAACTTCAAATCTTCCTCTGCCATTCTCATATTAAAGTCCAGGCCAAAAATCTGGGGATATAGGTCATCAGCGTAAGTGCCTGCCTGGCAAGTGCAAGGTCCTGAGTTTGATTTCCAGTACCAATAAATAAATAAATAAACTCAATCACTCAGTCACTTACTTAAGTCACTCAAGGCCAGCATCTGTAAGATGGTTTCTCATGTTTTTCTATGCTTTTGGATGACCATGATGATCCAGTGCTTCCTGGTCTGTGCATTCCAGCTGTGCTAAACTGTCTTAGCCATTTTAAGTATACTACTCAGTTATTAGGGAAATCTGTACTTTTCTGGACCATCACACCATCCATCTGTCCTGGATTTTGATCATCTCAGACTTCATCTCTTTATCCACTAAACCCCTCTTAGTGCCTCAAAACCACCATTTTTCTTTATAAATTTGACAGGAACCTCATATAACTAGAATCATGTAATATTTGTCCCTTTTTGTGTGGTTTATTTCACTTAGCATAACATTTTCAAAGTTTGCTCATGTTGCTTGTGATAGGGTTTCTTTCCTTTTTAAGGCTGGTATCCAGTAATATGTGTGTTACACTTCTTGTTGTCCATTGATGGGCATGAGAATTGTCTCTGTCTTTTGGCTATTATAATTAATACTATTATGTACACTGATGTACGCAGATCTGTTGAGAGTCCCTGTTCTGTTTGTTTTTGTTTTTGTTTTTACATATGACTCACAAATGAAACTGTTGAATAATATGGTCATTTTATGTGTAGTTTTTTTGAGGAACTGCCATATCATTTTCCTTCAAGACCTGCAGAATTTTACATTCCTACTAGTAAACCTAAGTATTCCAATTTCTCCATATCCTTGCCAATAATTCTTAACTTTATTTATTTTTACAATAGTGTGGAATAATATTTTTTGTAGTTTTGCTTTCATTTCCTGTGTGAACATGTTAGGAGAAAGTCTAATCACTAAAATGAAAAATAATCATTCCTAATTTCTCTTTTGCTAAGTTTTCTAGTGCCTATTGCACAGACAAACTGTGATTGGCGATTAGAAGTATCCCTAAATTGTGTAAATTCCTAGCTCAATGTACATTTAAACCTAAATAACATTTAAGTAACAAGTGGAAAAGTTTCTCTGTGTGTGAGCAGTCAATTCAAAACCAACACACATCATGTATGATTGATTGTACCTGAGAATCAGAACTTAAAAGTGTGTTTTTCTCTGGATTGACCTATGAGACAAATCCTGTAAATAAAATTTAAAACTTACAGTTAGGTAAAGAGACAACAGTTTCTATAAAGACAAAGTGGGGGTCTTGAACTATAAGATATAAATACTTTTATATAGAAAAGATACAGGTATTTTAGTTGATTTTACAGTGAATAAGTCCTTAAAGTATCCTGGCTTCTAATAAATCTAATGCGATCTTTAAATTCACTGAAAATAAAAGTCCAAAAAATGACAGTAATGATTGTATTGTGGTCTCTACCAATCACAGTTTGTTAATTTGTTATCTCCATCGTAGCTTGGTATAAGTATAACACATTAAGTAAACTGATAAGATTTGTTTAGTAAGCAAATACTACCTATTTTATACAAGTTATATGTCAATTACTGCTGCTTTACAGAAGCAAAGAGTACATGGTTCTCCCCCTATCATAAGAGAGGAATCCTCGATACAAATGAGCATAATATGAGGTGGAAAGCTGCAGTATCTTCAGCAGCTCCCGTGCAGGATGGGGCTGTTGACGGTTGTGGGAAGGAAAGTGGTTGGCAGTGCCCATGGTGGGTATGCAGTGGTGAATTTTGAAGAGGTGAGGAATATGGTCTCTTGTTTTAGAGTTTTTGAACTACAAATGTTACTAGGCTTTGCTGGATACAATAAAAGTAGATAAAAGCATGAACTCCTGATAAGGGCCTACATTTATCAAAGAATGGCTGAGGCTTGCAGTTCAAATTCTAATTCAAGAATTGTGTAGATGCCAATATCCACAGACTATTTAGGGGTTTGTAACTTACCTGCAATCAAATCATCAATTTTTGGTTTGGATGATAACTCGTCACCTGTAGAACCTGACTTGGCTGTGGCTGGAATCCACTCATTGGCTTCCACTTCAGTTACACCTCACTCACTCCTGTTGGTTCAGTGCTACTTCAAGATACTAAGCCCTCTATGAGATGCAGCAACCATCTCCAATTCCTCGTATCCATCCTGGTGTGCAGTTAACAAACCTGCCCTTTGAAGATGTCCTTGATGTTCGCATCAAACCCACAACTTTAGTTCCAAGCAGTATTCAATGATTTCAAGAGAGATTTTTGCTTGCTTATTTGTTTGTTTTGTTTTTGCTTTGATAGCTCAATAAGTTAGAGAGCTATACATATGGAGGGATTTTTTGCCATGTGGTTAAAGAAATCAGCTGAGACTTTGCATGGTAGAGACAGGTTGTCCTTAAGAAGATAACTATCCCAATGGTCGGTGTATAAAAGCAAACGGGAAACTGTTTCCTTTGCCTGGCTACGCACTACTGCCTAAAAATGTGAAATGAACAGAAGTGTCCTTAGTTTCCTTTGTCTGTTAGTTAGGTTGTTTTCACTGTGCCAAACTAGAATTCTGTTTCAACTATACTGATAATAATGGCATTAACCAAAGGTAAAGATAAAGAACATGGAGTTAATGATAGGGCAAGGCAGATGCTCTTTTGTGCTGATTGCCCTATGAGAGATGCTGGCAGAGCTTTCTTCTCTTCTTCCTCATCTTCCCTAAATGAACCATGTAACATTTATTGTGTTATTAATAAGTGAACCATGTAACATTTATTGTCTATTGTTAATTTTGCCCATTGCAAAACCTATGCCTGTGTGTAATTCTTACAAACATGCATGGTTCTTCTGTTCATCAGTTCTTTGGGGCCAAGTGCACTGAAGACGCTCGGGAGTACAGCATCAGTGAAACGAAAAGAAACTTCCCAGAGCTCAGCTCAGTCTAAAGAAAAGAAGAAAAAGAAATCTGCACTTGATGAAATCATGGAGGTATGATTTATGAGTTACTTATGGACACCTGGCATTGAGAGGAATGATGTAATTCAAACCTAAGGAAACATAAAATTATAAAGATGTTTGAATATAATGTTAAAGAAAACATAAAGTTATAAAGATATTAGTATATAATGTTAGAGAAAAGAAGCCTAATGCTGTTTCATCTAGCCCTTACAATATGTTTATTTCCCTGCCCCAAGTGCTATCTTTGGAACTTTCATGCAATTAGGTCAGTATTCACGAGAAGGGCGTAGTGGTAACTGAAATGTGATCTTCTGTGGGTATCCTGCATATCTAGCTTGTATTCTTCTGTTGCCTCTGATTTCCATGTATCACATGGAAGTGCAAGCTAGCAAGAGAAAGCCATGATGTGTTTTTAATTAGTGGCTAAACTTATGTAATGAATTATTGAAAGTATGTGATTGTCTAGAGTTAGTAGCTATGTTAGTTACTTTTTTCTCTTTGCTGAGGTAAAATACCTGACACCCAAAGTTAAAGGAGGAGAAGTATATTTGGTTCACAGTTGCAGAGGTTTCAGTCCATAATCAGCAGGGTTCAAGGTAGGGTAACTTGGTAGAGGTGCATTGCAGAAAAAAACCAGTCCATGGCAGTCAGAAGACAGCAAAAGCAAGCAGCGGGGGAAGATGACTCTTTCTGTCCTTTATATTGTATATAGGCTACCCACGCTACATACCCTTAATCTTAGCCAGAATTATGCCAACCAATCAACTGATTTATTAATCACATTCCCTTAATTTCAGCATCACACACTACACTAGACTAGATCTAGTCACTTTTGAAAAAAACCCCACCTATGATTGCATGAAACTTTGGTGGGGAACATTTAGACACAAGCCATAATAGGGCCGTACTTTGGCTTTGAATCTACCCCCAAAATGTAAGGAAACTACAGAAAATTTGTAATGTTTTCTAAATATTTCTTCTTTCTTCCAACTGATAACCTTATCAATGAATTATTTATAAAATAAGTAGAAAAAAAGAGAAAGGTCAGGAAAAGAGAAAGAATGGATACGAACAGGTAATTTTTTCCCCTTTGTTATTTCCTCCTTAAGTCTCCATCTGTTCATTTGTGAAGAAATTGTGTTCTCTCTTACTGGTCCTCACACTATGCAGAGCAGCATAAAAACTTAAAATAAAAGGTAGGATTGGGTACACTATGAAATGATGCCATTCCATCATGCCTTGACTACTGAGTTGTTGTTATGTAGTAGGAAATACACTGAGTCCAAGGTCTGTAATACAGAGATAAAAACAGTTGTTTATCATGGAACTTTAGTGCAGAAGCCATTCTGCAAAGCAGTAAATAAGAAATTGCACAATTGCTAAGTGCTAAGAAGGAACTGAGAAGACAGAAAAAGTCTCAGGTGATGTGGCTGTAACATACTAAATTTGTGGTAGCATTTAAAATAAGACAGAAGAGGGAGCAACATTACACAAGTCTCACGTGCCTTAGGGAATTTTAAAATTTAGTTTAAAAACCAAATCTACCTACTTGAAGTAGAACACATGCTAAATTTAGAATATTCTTTGTTAGTATTAGAAAGTCAAAGAATTTAAAATCAGCCTTGAAATGAACTAAAGCATAATGTCATTGGATCCCATTGAAAGTTTATAGTAGGGTTAAGTTTAAGCAGTGGAAAAAGAAAAAGTTGTACTATACAGTGTAGCCCTAAGAGCCAGGTAGCACTTTATTCTGTTGGTCACTTTTTAAAAATTTATATGTATCCCAGGAGCTGGAGATTTAGCTCAGTGGCATAAGCGCCTGCCTTGCAAGCAGGCAGTCGTGAGTTCAATCCCTGGTACCTATAAAAAAACGAAAAAGACAAAAAAATTTATATGTATCCCTTCATTCATGAGTTTATTATTGTCAAAAAGGAAACCTTCTTTTTGCTCTCAGACTACTTCTCTTACATGCTTTGCTCAATTGATCCATGTATTGTCCATGTATTGTCACCACGAGAAAAAGTCACCTGTTTGTAGCTCATGACAACAAGAGGACAGCATATGGGAGGGTGTACAGTAGGCCCAGCAGATGGTCTTGCAGTATTGACTAAACAGGGATTTTTGTTTTGTTTTGTTTTGTTTCTGGGTCAGTAGATTTATTTTATGACATAAATTTTAATATTTAAAGTTTCTTTTCCAGTCAGAAACTAATTACAGATAATGTTTATTTGTATCTATCAGAGCTTGCAAGTTATGTCATTAGTCTTTGGTGGAAAATGAACTTTTTAGTGTTATTTTGCTAAATAGAAGGCCATTCTGAAATAAATTAAGGATTATAAAGAGATAATCTTATGAATATCTCATGTGTTTTTCAGATTGAAGAGGAAAAGAAAAGAACTTCTCGAACAGACTATTGGCTACAACCTGTGAGTATTTTAGATGGAGCATCTTAACTACTGGGTTCACATATAGAGAATGATTTAAATAGTATTTGATCTGAATAACTTAATTTCTTAAATATATGTAAGTTATAGGGTTAGTTATAATTTACGATGACTTCCTTCTCTATTGGACCTTCAGTTACTGAATGCAATTGTGTTGGAGGGTTACTTCACGTTTATGACTCGATGTAAAGTTTAGTTCTTTGTTTTGGTACCAGGAATCCAACTCAGGATCTCATGCTTGCCAGGCAGGTAGGTACTATGCTGCTGAGATACATCACCGGCCAGGTTTAGTTCTAAATTTGTTCATAGACACCTTGAATTTGAACCTGAAATTACAGCCACTTTTTGCTATAAGGCAAAGATTGCATTTTTGGAAACAAGATTAAAAATTAGAATTGTGAACTCTAAAGTTTAGTTTGTAATTTATGGTTTATTAAAATACCTATTTAGGGACTTTGTAGAAAAAACAGGTCTTGGGGCTGGAGGTTCAGCTCAGCAGCATAAGCGCCTGCCTTGGAAGCAGGCAGTCGTGAGTTCGATCCCCGGTACCGATAAAAAGGAAAAAGAGAAAAAAGAAAAAACAGGTCTTAATTTACAGACTTAAGGAAAGTTATGTTTAATTGCTTATTGGTTGTTGCTTATTTTAAAATAATTAAAGGTAGCCAATGGTGTACTCCATAACCCCAACACACGGGAGGCTGAGGTAGGAGAATCATTGGGAGTTCAAGACCAGCCTGGGCTACAAAATGAGCCCAAGGCCAGCCTGAACCACATAGTGAGACCCTGTCTCAAAAAGACAAAAAATAAACTAAAATAAGGTCATTGTTAAACGTTTACCACATTTTCTTAATTTTTTGCTTACTGATGCCATACTTTGGACTGAGACATAAAGTTTTCCTAAAATTTTCAGAGTCCCTTAGTTTTTCAAGTGCTAATTTGATCAATAATAGAGGAGTGAAAAGTAAAATATGCTTAGATAGTTTCTGATTTGAGAAATAAGATTAATAACTTTGAAAAACTATGAGATCCAAAGTTGTAATGCAGTTCTTCAACTCCTTCTCCCTTCAGGGTGAAAATACTTTAGTTTCTGAATGTTAGTTTACCTTTTTTCATGATGGGAAGCACAAATTAATAATCATGAAATAAGTTGTCTAAGGTGAAAATAACTTGCTTTTGTAAAATAAACATGTCATGTGAATTGTTTTAGTTGATTTTCATAACAGCTTTCCAGGATTGTTATAGTTACTACTTCCAGTTTGCAGGAATAGAAACTTAAATAAAACTTTAAGATGTAAAATACTTTTTCCAGGGTCATCTATTAAGTAGAGTCAAGAGTTCTGTGGTAATCTAATTCCAGAGGTTTGCTGTCCTTGACCATGTAGTTCTGCCTACTGATGCCTTGATCTGAGAGTAAACAGGTCATTATAAAGTCAGGACTATGTCATGGAATAGGAAAATCTAATTTTCTTACTTTAAAAATTAGTAATGGAAGAACCAGTAGGAAAGAAACAATCTGTGAATTATTTAGATTTTTGTTACAGCAGCTAGCATTTGAACATTAATAGTTTTACGTATTGCTTATGAAAACATAATCAAGAATTTTGCTTAAAGCAGATATTATTAACCAGAGAATAATTCAAAATTTCTTAAGAGTTTTTTCAGGCCAGGGATGTAGCTCAGTGGCACAAGCACCTGCCTGGCAAGTGCAAAGTTCAGAGTTTGATTCCCCGTATCAAAAACAAAGATTTTTTTTCCAAGCCATGTGCTACATGCTTCTGCCATTTAGTGTTCTGGGGTGAAGTGTTGTCTTTTATCCACTTTCCAAGTGACTGCATTGGTAAAGAACTGTTGGTTTAAAGGAAAAAGAGAAGGAATAAAGACAGGGAGAAAGGGCACATTGCAAGTTTTAACCCCCAAATGCTGTTTGTGTTGGCCATACTTGCAAGTAAATTTTATTATCTATTGGATAATTTTCATCTACTGCAAGTGCATATTTCTCATAGCTCCTCACATAGAGTGTTATGTTAAAAGTCTTGCTCTGCCTACAGTATGCTAATGACTCAGTGTGCCTCCTGCTTTGAAATGGTTAACAAGTTTGTTAAAATAACCAGCAGTCCAGAGACAGATTTGGAGGACTTTATTTCTTAGGTTCAGAAAAGAAAATTTGAACAGATCTATTGTGAGTAAGTTAGTAAAAACAGAGATGGTAAGTTATTTTCAGATGACTAGAATATAATCCACTGAGAGTCTTTGAGAAGTTTAACCTAGGAATATTATGGTTGAATCAGCTGTTTTAGTATTAATTGGCCTCAGTAAGACTAAGCTAATGTTTTCAGTTAAACTTGTCTTCTATTAAATAACCTTCCCCTGAAGTGAATATAGCAATGACAGGCAATTTAATTTTCATTAATAGCTTTTATATAATTAATACAAGTCACAAAAACAACAATAAAGCAGCAAACTTAGGATTCATTAATATGACATAAGGCCAGATTTCTCTCATTTGAGATGAGATTCTCAGAAGAACAATAATTTCAACTAAAGCTGATCTGGAGGGATCCCATTTATATGAAAAATTCAAAGCAGTGTAATGAGAAAACAACATTGTGGAAAACATCATGCAAAAGCTCAAAGCCTCAGTTCTTTACAATCCTCAGTAAAACTCTTGTAATCAGTTTTTATGAGTAGCAAACACCAGAAATGTAATATCCTTGGCACTTTTCACTATCTTGAAATAGACAAAGAGAAAGAAGCTATGAAAGACATGCACTAAGAGAGTGGAGAGTCACAGATAAAGTCCTAGATATCAGCTGGCATGGCAGCACATGCCTGTGATCGCAAGTCTAGGAGACTGAGGCGAGAGGCTTGTATTGAGCAACTTAGTGATTTAATAGGACTGTCTCAAAATAAAATATAAGAAGGGCTAGGTGTAGCTCAGTGTGAAGGCCCCAGGATCAGTCCTCAGTACCCCCCGCAACAAAGTCCTAAATTGAATTTTGTTGTAGAAATCAGCCATTTTATGTCTCCTCACCTGCCTTGATAACTGTGTTAAGCAAAAGAAAGAAAGAATTTCTAACAAAAATTTTTGCCACCATCAGGAAAGTTTAGAACTCCTTGCTTTATTATTTAGCAGACCAGTTATAATTTAGTATGGTTTTTGGTGAATGTATTTTAAAAGGAAGAAGTAAAATACAAAAGATAAATGTATATCTTTTCCTTCATTTTGTTTGTTATTGTTGTTATTTTCTAGGAAATTATCGTGAAAATTATAACCAAAAAACTTGGAGAGAAATACCATAAGAAAAAGGGTATTGTTAAGGTAAGGATATGAAGATATACACTGAAATTTCTGAAAAGAGCTGGTGGGTAACCAAGTGAGGATATTGTAAAATTCCTTGAAAATCGAATCCCTCTAGTGCAAATTTTGTGTAGGGTTCTTACTATCCCATAAAATGAAATCTGAATACATAACATGTTAGAAGAAATGCTTCTGTTCCAGTCATGCTTTAGGCTTAACCTTGATCAGTTTTCTTGCTGGGCAAATAATGTATATGAAATCCCACTTTAAAAACTCAGCATGCATGTCTTGCTAATTCATCAGTAAAACTTGTTCTGTTTAATGATTGACAGTATTCTCCCCCAGTCAAACAGGGGCTTTCTCTGAAATGTGAGGACTATCCTTTGACGACTCCACATTTTGGAATGCCAGTCCTTTACTTTTCCTAAATACAATTTCATTCTAAAACCCAGCTTTGTTCATACAGAAACTGCCCTTCTTCGGGCAGAATTACTCCTCCTAGATTTCTTAAATTTATATTTTTAAAATTTCTTATTCTATGATTACCATTTTCATATTTTTACCAGAAGGATTTAGCTCAGCGGCATAAGCGCCTGCCTTGCAAACAGGCAGTCGTGAGTTTGATCTCCAGTACCGATAAAAAGGAAAAAGACCAAAAAAAAAAAAAAAAAAAAAAAAAAAATCATATTTTTACCAGAGAAAATCTTTAAGGTTTGAATTGAGTTCTTTATTGAGAAGTATGAGTTAACTCTTATCTTTTAATTGGAATTTCATTTGTTTTTATTTCTTTTGTCCTTTTAACTTAGCAGTCACATATTTCTTCTGTTATAAAAGTGTTCCTTTTACACAACAGGAAGTAATTGACAGATATACAGCCGTTGTAAAGATGATTGATTCTGGAGACAAGCTGAAACTTGACCAGACTCATTTAGAGACAGTAATTCCAGCACCAGGTAAATCTGTTTGCAGACCATTTAATACATGTCCCATCAAAATGAGCATATAGATTTTGGATATTACTTGATAGTCATAGACATGTTTCCCTTTCAGAAGTATTACTACTGAGGTAATAAATTTCCATATGACTTTGGGGGGAAGGGACATGATAGTGCTCTATCAAGTGATTTTGTGCTGTAAATGAGTTTTCCCTTTTTAGCATACATTTACCCCCGAGGCCATATGCAGACACATGGATAGTATCAATCATATTAGTCATATTACTATTATATATATTTAGCTACTTGACATAGTGAGATTCTTCTTTTAAGCTATTCTTGTCATTTGAGTGTTTCTTCATATTAAGTATAAACCCTGCTTTGCTTAGATAGTTTGTCTCTGACTCAGTCTTCTTGGGGATCTCATTGTGGTGCATTCATAATGTCTTGAAAACTTCCCCTTGCTGTATTCTTTTTTATTTTTAATGCTAGAGTTTTAACCCAGGACCTTTACACTATACTACATCCTCTGCCCCCTTTACTATATTTCTTATTTTTGAGACAGACTTGCTATAATATAAGCCTTCTGCCTCAGTTTCCCTAGAATGCTGTGGTTACAGGTGTGTGCTGTCACTCCCAGCTAAATAAAACTTGTAAGTTAGGAAAACGTTTTATCAGCCTTACTGACATATATACCAAGTGATGGCAAACCTTTTGGAGTTTTCAGTGATGCAGACAGCCTGATGTGGCTTGCATGCCACAGGTTTGGTAGCACCGACACATACAATGTACAGTAAATTACACTCATCAAAAATGCACTGATCAGTTTTCAGATATGAATACTCCATTGAAACCTTCAGTGTAATCATGGTGATGCGTTTCTGCCTTTATGTCCCTTTCTGGTCCTTTTGTACTATCCTGTAGTCCTGCTATGTACCTTACCAGGCAACTGGAGATTTGCTTTCTGTCACTCTGTAGTATTTATTATTCTAGAATTTATATAAGTAAAATCATATTGTATATCCTGTTATTTCTTTGGTTCTTTTAGTCTGGCTTATTTCACTTCACAAAGTGATTTTGGATTCACCCATGTTGTGGCGTATGTATGTTATTGTTCATGTAATTTTATTGCTGAATGGTATATCATTGAAAAGGCAAACCACAGTTTATCCAGTGACTGACATTTGAGTTATTGATAGTTTTTTAACAGATGGATAGAACTGCTTTGAACATTCCTGTACAAATGTGAATATATACTGTAATTTGTATCATCTCAGGTAAATACTTAGGATAATTCAGTCATATAACTTAATTGTTTAAAAAACTGCCAAGCCATCTTAAGAATTTTGAAAAGAGACAAACTAAAGTACTAAACTGAACTAAATTTTCCCTCAGTACTTCTATGCTCTGAACATTTTCTCCAAGTACCTTGAACTCTTTGCAAAATAAAAACATATACCTTAAACAAATGCATGAGAAAAATGAAGAATCAATATTACGTTAGCGTGTTTACAAACTGTACTGTAGAATACTACCCATTTCTTATGTATTGAGGAACTTCTAGAAGTGTTTTGGTTTTCATTATGTTCATTTAGTGTAAGGCTTTTTGGTGTAATAAAGTAGAAAAAAATAGGCATTTCTTTGCATTAAGGTTTATATTCTTTTCTGCTATAGGAAAAAGAATTCTAGTTTTAAATGGAGGTTACAGAGGAAATGAAGGTACCCTAGAATCCATCAATGAAAAGACTTTTTCAGCTACTATAGTCATTGAAACTGTAAGTTTGCTTAACAATGACAAAAATATTAAAATGTCTTAAAAATTTTCTCTAGTTCTTTTTAATTTGATTGCTGTTTAGAGTGTGAATTACTTGTTTGCCTTCTGTCCCATTTGGATGATTTTTTTCTTTTTCTTTTTCTGTTTGTTTTTTGAAACTGGGTCTTGATCTGTAGTTCAGGTTAGGCTTGAATTTAACATACTATATGTATCCTAGTTTAGCCTCAAACTCTTGGTGATTCTCCTGCCTCGGGCTCCCAAATGCTGGGGTTAAAGGTGTATATCTGGCTTTCCATCCCATTTAGAAATCTATAACCTTATTTTTTCTAGCAATTCCTCCACTAATGAAACATTTTGTTTTCTTATTATACAAGGAATCTATACTCACTGTATAAACCTGAAATTACTATTGAATATAAATAATTCTAAATATCACCCATAATCTCCCAGCCCAGTGAGTAAATTTTGGTCTGTTCCTTTCCAGTCTGTATTTTTATCAAAAGCTAATTTCTTCTGTCACTAATAAACTCACAGCTTCATTTTGTTTTTCTGATGCGTTAGCTCCTCAAAGGGCCGTACTGAGATAGAACCCATGAGCAAAACCCCATGAGAACCTTTCTAGCTGATTACAAAGTAATCACTTCTGGAAGAGAAAACCCATTTTCCAATTTTTTGGTTCTTGGTTCTTTATCTCTTTTTTTCCCCTAACTGTCCCCATTTTAAAAAAGAAATACCTGTTTATATGTGCATGTGCTTCTTTATTTTGTTTTTTGAATCTCTAAAACTTTTCTGTGGTTTTTTTTCATTGTTTTTGTCACTTCTGACAAAAGATTTTTAATAGCTATTAAATTATTTCTAAACAACCTCAGCCTTTTAGCTTTTTATCTAATGAACCCCAATGTCTGGATCGCTTTTCCTCCAGATCTATAGTTGTCAGAAGTGTGTAATTGACCATAGAGCTTTAAATGCAATAATGAAAAATTCAACGTAGGTTGTATTTTACCTGGAAACTGATTTCATTGAAATATAATTATTCCTTTAAAAGGCTGACACTTTAAAAAGCATTTTAAAAATTTAAGATTCTTAGATAAAAATATTAAAATCTCAGCCCAGGATTAAAGGCATATTATCAGTGTTGTCATTATCATCATCATCTTGTTGTACTTTACTCGGGAGAGGTTCACCTTTCTAATTTTAACTAAAAGATTTAATAATAGTTGAAAATTGTTGAGCCCATAGTCAGATCCAAGTATTGTTCTAAGCATTTAATATATATGAATTCATGCATATTTCCCAGCACCTGAGTTATATAGGGCACTACTGTCGCCTGCACTGGGGACACTGGAGCACAAAAGGACATAGGACACAAAAACACAGAGAGGCTCAGGCATCTGCTGGAGGGAAACCTGGGCTGAGTGCCTGTACTGTGTGCTCAGGCTATCTCTGCTTTTGAAGTTTTTTCTTTTCCTTTTTTTTTTTTTTTTTTTTTCCTTTTTAGCGGTACCGGGGATTGAACTCATGACTGCTTTACAAGGCAGGCGCTTATGCCGCTGAACTAAATTCCCAGCCCCTTTTTTCCATTTTTTGGATATGAAGAGAAGGAGAAAGTTGGACCAATTTTCTATAATACAGATCAGCCTTATTAACTAGACAAGCAAGTTTCTACATTTGTATTGCTTATAGAAATATTAGCTATAAAAAGGACCCCTCTTCCCAGTGGATAAAGGCACAAACCTAGTAGAAATATTAAAAGTCAAAAATAGGTATTCTTAAAAAAAAAAAAAATAGGTATTCTTGAAGCTGGAGATTCAGCTCAGTGGTGTAAGCACCTGCCTGGCAAGCGGGAGGTCATGAATCTGATCTCCCATACCCCCCAAAAAAAGAGGTATTCTTTTTGTCTTTCTTAGTGGTACTGGAATTAAACTCAGATCTTTTGCACTGAGCTGTATTGCCAGCCTTTTTTATTTTATTTCATGACATAATCTCATTAAGTTACTAAGTTGTCCATGCTATGCTTGAACTTGGTGATCCTCTGGCCTCAAGTACTTGGAATATTCTTGATCAGACTGTGGACCTTTTTTTTTTTTTTTTTTTTAATTTAAAGAAAAGGAAACAAAATGCATGGAGATAAAAAAAAAGGGTAGAAATAATACAAAATTACAGAAAAACAAACGGTAAGAAATCGCTGGTTGATAAGTGACATATTGTCATCTTAGAAATAGCTGTTCAGGTTACAAAATCAAAGCATTTAAAATGACATTCAAAAAGTGACACTGCAAACAGTTCTGCTCAGTGATCAAACAAAAACTCAGTAATATGGTTATCAGTCCTACACACTTGTTTTACATCTCAAAGAGGGTAAGATTAAACATATCAAAACAGTTAAAAAAACAATTTAAAGAAATATAGATTTCAAAGCAAGTCCACTGGAGATCCCCACTGTCTATCTAACTGTCTCCAGTTTCCTACAAATAGTTGTCCCCATCTTCACCCACATTATATACATATTGCACATGTGGACCTTTTCTCAATAGTAACTTGTATATGCAGAGTCCTTTCAGTTAGCGACCCTGTCATATTCAACAAGTGACATCCACAGTGTCAGGGAAGCCACAGAGGAGCACAACGTATCTCAAGAGGAGCCTGGCCTGGCTGGGCACCACTTGTGTTTGCTGCACTGCTGTGGGCTGAAGCTCCCTCTCTGGCCACAAGGACTTACCAGGGCAGTAAGGAAATGTAGCAGTGAGATAGCAAGCAGCTAGCTGTTCATCATAGTGTCTACTGATAGATAACACTTTGCAAATAACATTGACGAAATGGCTTTGCTTATAATTGGGATGCCTTAGAGTATTTTTAAAGTTTATAGGTGTATAGAAACATTAGGTACCTCAGTGACTTTTTAGAGATCTGGGAAAGGTAAGTTTGTATCCACAAATGTGCTGTCATTTTTAATCTTTTATAAGTACATATGTTTTAAATCTTATTATTTTAATTTTAGGGCCCTTTAAAAGGACGCAGAGTTGAAGGAATTCAATATGAAGACATTTCTAAACTTGCCTAAGTTGGAAAATTTGTTAACGCATTAAAATCCTAAAACATCACATTGGTGTTTGCTAAAAGTATTATGAGACTCTACTGTGTTAGAGTATGTCTTTGTATAAAACAAATAGACTTATTTAGATATTATTGTACAGGTATTTAAATGTATAGAAAGTTCTAATTATGTGTTCTAAAGTATCAATTTTGACCTTGTTTAATACTGTATAATATGAAGTGTTTCTTTGATTTTTTTATCTTCATTAAAAATATTGTAAAATGTTTTGTATAAGACAATGTAGAATTCTGTAATTGGAGGAAATTTTCATGTACTCTAAAATTTATATTTGCAGTAGTAGAATAGTAATGTTGAACTGTAATACACATATCATTAAAATTTTAAAAGCCTATGCTATAATAGCACCTTTATTATGATATAATTCACACACCATACAATTTATTCATTTAGAATGTACAATTCATTGATTTCTAGTATATTTACAGAGATGTATAACCATTTTTACTATTTAATTTTTGAGTGTATATTTTGTCACTCCCAAAACAAACCCTACACACATTCAATCACTGTTGTCACCCCATGCCCATTGCTGGCAGTGAATTGTTTTGTTTTGTTCGTGATACTGGAAATTGAATCTGGGGCCTCGCTTTCCAGGCAGGTAATGTGCAGCTGAGCTACATCCCTAGCCCAAGGCAATGATTGATAGCCTTTCTATCTCTTTAGATTTGCCTGTTCTAAACATTTTGAATAAATGGAGTAAGCTGTGGGGTTTTATTTATTTATTTTTACAATGGGTATCTTTACACTTAGCCTAATGTTTGCAAGACTCATCCACATCATAACGTGTGGCTATACCACATTTTGCTTGTCTACTCATTGGTTGATGGACTTGTTGGACACTACTATGACGTTTGTTTATGAGACTTTCCGAGGACATATACTTTGAATTCCCAGTGGTAGAATTGCAGTCTCACTATGAGTTATACCATATTTAATATTTTGAGGAACTTCCAGTTTTACATAGTACTTATATCACGTTAGCAATGTTTGAACTGTATATTGTTAAACAAATACGGAACATGTTTTGAGATACAAAAGATTGGAAACCTACCTCATACTTCTTTATACCTCTCCCTACGTGCATGTGCACACACAAGAAATTTGCAGTGTGATGAACTGAAAAATAAACAGATGCAGCGGGATGTAAATGTGAATCAGCTGTTTTCTGAGCCTGTGGTTTCTCTGTTAGCACCATTCTCAGGCATTCTTAAAAGAGCAGGATGACCTGGAACATCTCCAGGTTTATACCTTAACCTTTTAGCAGCACCAGTGAAAAGAGACTATCTTCAGTAATGCTTCAAACAGAAGGCCTAGAATTGAGTCTTATTGGACCATACCTGCACAAATCACTCTAAAGAAAAGGAAGGATTCGCTGCCTGACCAAAGAGGTTGCATGTCACCTTCAGGCCGTCTGGCTTGGACTGAGTGGAGGAGGGCTGATAACTGCTATATCCTTCCAAGACAACTTGACAGTGTGGAACCATCGAGTACAGCTGAGCCTCATAGTTGGGCACACTTTAGTTTGAACGTTGAGTGTTGTGCTCATTAGGTATATAAACTTAAAAAGCTAATGCCCTTGAGTTGCATTAATTTTTGTATATTGTCAAAATTAATGTGTCCTATATGATTGATATGAGAATTGCAGAAAGTGCATGAATTTCTTAAAAAAATTTTTTATCCTGGGAATTGAACTCAGGACCTTGGACTTGCCAGGCAGGTGCTTATGCCACTGAACTATATTCCCAACCAATACATAAATTTAAAAGAAAAGAAAATAACATATAAATTACATAAAGCTTGGCATGTAGTAGGTGTTCCATTAACATCAGTGAGTAATACTGTCAATGAATGAAGCCAAGTATTTGAAGCACATGTCAGTGTAAGTCTGGTGTGAAGAATTTCAATAAGGAGAAGACTTCTTGGTAATAGTGAGATAAATAAAATGTGACAAATTACATGTACTTCCCAAAGTCAGTGGTTTTCTTCATAGCAAAATGATTCATTCCACTTCTCACAAGTAATTCTCTTTTTCCAGCATCTACTTGAAATGATCTCAGAACGAAATAAAATAGTATGCATCAGGTTAAATTTAATTTAAAATATCTGATGCACAGAAATGTGATTCTGGACTATAGAACTTTCTTTTTCTCATAGGTTCTTAGAGGTGTTGAGCAGAATGAGTGCAGACACCTAAAATTAGGTCCTAATGACTTCTTCATGAAGCATCTAAACTTTCCCTTTTCTGTTATAAAAACTAGACTTTTTAGAGTAGTGTCTGGACTGTGGCACATGTATGATATCACATCCGATGTAGTTGTGAACACAGTGCAATATTTTGACTGCCCTGAAAGTCTCATGCTCTGCCCATTGTTCCCTCCTGACCCCACCTGCGTCCCCAATCTTTTCACACTCTCCATTGCTTTGGCTTTTCCAGAACATTGTATGTTTGCATTGTACAGTGTGTAGCCTTTTTAAATTAACTCTTTTGACACAATAATGAGCATTTAAAGTTCTCTTTGTCTTTTCGTGGATTGATAGCTCTTTCAGACAATGGAATACTATTCTTTTTAATGTTGAATAGTATTCCATTGTCTGAATGTTTCATAGTTTATCCATGTAAATTCTGAAGGACACTTCGGTTGCTTCCAAGTTACTGGCAGTTAAGAATGAAGCTGTTATAAACATCCTGTGTACAAACTGTTGTGCAAATACAAAGCTCAGCTCATTTGAGTAAATATCAATGATTCTAATTGTTAGATTATAAGAGTCTGTTTCCTTTTGCAAGAGACCACCTAACTGTCTTCAGAAGTGGTGGTACTGCTTTGCATCTCCATCAGGAATAAATGGAGAGTTCTTGCTGCACATCCTTGCCAGCACGTGGCGATGTTAGTATTCTGGAGTTTGGCTGTTGTGTGTGTAATTGTGTCTCATTGTTTTATTTTGCAGGCTCCTAATAGTATCTGGCACTGCACATCATGTGCTGCTTGTTTGCCATCTGTTTGTCTTTGGCAAAGTGTCTTATCAGTTCTTTTGCCCATTTTTTAATTGGGTTGGTCATTTTCCTGTTGTTGAATTTTGAAAGACTTTTATAACAGTCTTATCAGATGCATCTTTCATAAATTTTTTTTTCTGTGCTGGCTTGTCCTCATTTTTTTTTTTTTTTTTTGTCTTTTTCGTTTTTGTTGGTACCAGGGATAGAACTCACGAGCGCACACTTGCAAAAAAGGCGCTTATGCCACTGAGCTAAATCCCCAGCCCCCTTGTCCTCATTTTAAAAAAGCTATTCTTGGACCAGGGATATAGCTCAGGAGCACAAGCACCTGCCTGGCAAGCACAAGGTGCTGAGTTTAATTCTTGGTACCAAAACAAACAAAACACCTATTTTTATCAGTGTGCTTAAATTCTTACCAAATTATTAGCATTGCTATTCTGCTAGTCTAAATTCCCTGAATTTTCATTTTTGTAATGCCGTTAAGTCCTGTTGACTTATTTGCTGATTATTCTCTTTGTCTTCTGGCATCTAATTCCAAGCACCTATCAAATTTTGTGGCATAATACACTATATTAATTCAGTAAACATTTAAACTAGCACTTCTAGTAGGTAAGCTACTGCACTAGATGGGAGGTATGAGAGTGAGAAGCAGGTATAGACCCACATGCATAAATTGAACACGTGGTGACAGGTAAGTAAAATGATAACCGAGAAATTTGATAGTCTGGGACTACTAATTAAAAATGAGCCCTGACTTAGCTGAAGCTAAGTCTTAACTGATACCAGTGTATATCTCAATTCCTACCGTGGTAAAATAGAAGTGCAGAGAGGTTTTTTTAAGAGTAAAACAAAAGAACAGAACAAAGCAAATCAGAACAGAACAATTCAACAACACAACACTTCACAAGACAACCGGACATCAACAGTAGCTACCATAATGTCTCTCCAAAATAGTTCAGCATACCTTTACACACAATAATAGCAAACATAACAAAAGAATATAAATCCATTCAAAAGAATCAAAGCATTACAGGACTTCAGGAAATGAACAGTGGCTACTATAATATCTCATTTTCCTCAAAAAAATTGTCTATAAAACAACAGGATAGAGCCAACAAAAGCATGGTAAGACTCAAAACAAGGTAGTAAATCAGCAATGGCTACCATAATGTCTTGTTTTCTTCAAAATAGCTGTTGATACCATTACACATAATATCAAGCAAAATAAAATCAAACTAGTGAATGAAAGCATTATAAGTTTTAAGGCAATATAATAGGAAACAGATTACCATAATATATCCCATTGTATTCAAAATGGCTGCCCCTACCATCTGACAGCATACAATCTAACAAGACAGAACAAAGCCAAACTTTAACAAAATTGTGTAAACAATACAAGAGTTCAAGATAAGACTAAGAAATTGACAGTAATTTCCACCTTTCCCTCGTAGGTGTTTCCTCCCCTTTGCTTTTACATTAACTATTTTGCTTTTGCATCCCATTAACTCCTATTTCTTATGCTAGGTATCACACATATGAGTTTGAACTGTTTTGGCTATGAACATGATTTCCAGTTGTGTACATTTATCTACAGGAGCCTTGAGAGTATTCTATTTTATAGCTGGGTAGCTTTCCACTACATGAAAATACCATATCTTTCTTATCCATTCTGCAGTTGATGGGCAAGTTACTCTTGCTTTTTTTTTTTTTTTTTTTGGTCTATCATATGAAACAACTGTTTTCTCTCCTTCAGTTTGCAGCCTATGAATTCCCTTTCCAGTTAAATGTTTTTTTTTTTTGTATACAGTATATTGATGGATCTTGTTGATTCACTCTCCCTGTGTTTCTTTTTATTGCTGACCTGAGGCCATCTACATTAATGGTTATAACTAGCATACATTGGTTTGTCTCTGCCCTGCTATCCTCCTGTTGTTGGCCCTCCACTTTTCCCATTCATTCAATTGCCTGTCTTATTTGTTGATCCTCCTCTGCTGCTGTTCCTGGAATGATGGCCATCTTTATCTCTCACTAGAATATTCTTTTTTTTTTTTTTTTTTTTTTTGTCTTTTTCATTTTTATCGGTACCGCGGATCGAACTCACGACTGCCTGCTTGCAAGGCAGGCGCTTATGCCACTGAGCTAAATCCCCAGCCTCCTTCAGTTCTTGAGCAGAGAAGCATCTTACTTTTCCATCAATTTTGGAAGGTAGTTTTGCTGGGTAGGTCAATCTGGGTTGGAAGTTGTTTTCTTTCAGAGTTTGAAACACTTCACTCCAAACTCTTCTTGACTTGATGGTTTGTGTTGCTAAGTCTCCTGTGATTCTGATTGGTTTTTCTTTATAAGTGATCTGTCCCTTTTCTCCAACAGCTTTTAATATTCTGTTCTTGTGCTGAATTTCTGGGATCTTGATTATTATATGTGTGGGTGTAGATTTACTTTGGTTATGGCTAGTTGGGGTCCTATATGCCTCACTTATCTGCATACCAGACCCATTTCCCATGTTTGGGAAGTTTTCTTCTATTACTTCTGTGAATATCCTTTTAATTTCATTTGTGTTGACCCCTGTTTCTTCATTGATATCTGTCACGCTTAAATTATGCATCATAATTGATAATGATGCATAATTTGCATCATCTTGCAACTGTTGAGTTATTTCCTGAGTCCATGTTATTTTATTTATTTATTTATTTATTTATTTTATTTTTTTTTTTTTTTGAGATCTCTCCTTTCACGATCACTAGCTGCAAACCTGTCTTCAAGCTCTGGAAGTCTATCTTCAGTCTCTTTTAAGCAGTTTTGCCAGCTTTTGATTGAATTTTTAATTTCCTGCATCTCTCTTTGAACTTGTTTCATGCATTGTAATTCCTTTCTACATTCATTCCAAGTTTCCTTCATTTTCCTCTGCTCCTCTTTTTTGTCTGTGTCTTCTTTAGGCCTGCTGAACAATTCTCTCAGTATGTTTGTGATTTGTTCTTTTACCTGAGACATAATTTCTGATTTAACTGCTTTTACAATCTCATGAAGCTGTTTCCTTACTTCAGTTGCTATCCTCTCAGAAATTTCAGGTGTGTGACTTCCATTTTCTTCCATAACGGTGTCTCCCAGACTTACTCTGTGTGGGCTAGAGGTCTGAGTTTGCCTCTTGCTCCTTTGTCTTGACAT